TAAACATGGGAGACCAGAACTGCACCCAATACTCCAACTGAGGCCTCACCAGCGCCTTATACAACGGAAGCAGCACCTCCTTATCCCTACTATCACTTTGTAGGAACTAGGCTGACCAGACAGCAAGTGTGAAAAATCAGGACAGGGGGTGGGGGGTAATAGGAGCCTATATAAGAAAAAGCCCCAAATATCAGGACTGTCCCTATAAAATCGGGACATCTGGTCACCCTAGTAGGAACCAATCCTTGTACAGCACACAGTCACTGAACAACTTACTCATTACCTCATTTTACTTTCCAGGCTTATCGATTGTTATCTTGTCCATTGTAAATGGTTTGTTGGTGTTCCCCCTTACCTTAGGTAGTACAGTCATTCTGTTTCTAGCCTGCTGATCCATTTACCTTCCTAATCCTGTCTCCCAAGAAATGAGGCCTTACCGTGTCCAATCACTCATGTCAAGCCAGGACTACATTTCACTGCTTTTATTTTTTCCTTTTTATATTAGCATTTGTTTTATTTGCATTATAGTTTTTATTTTCTGTTCTTTCTTTTTTTAAGTTTATTACCCAGCAACACACTTTTAAGACAATAGTAGTTGTAATTATTCGAATTACTATTAACGCAAGGCTTAGAGTACGAAGCAGGCTGTAGAAGCTCACCTCCTATGGTGTAGCCCACTAGGGTGTGATTTTACATTGTAAGCTTAGTTTGTCTTTAAAACCTATTTTTATTTTCATTTTGCTTTTATTTTAATTGCATTATAAAAAATTGGTACAAAATACAAACAAAATATTTATTACCACAGGAAATATAGTTGGCAAACAGAACAGAAGCTAATTAAAATAACATTCTCTGTTCCCTACCAGAAGTGGTTCTTTTTAGCCACCACACGATACTTATTATCAGCATAGACAGTTTTTACTTTACCAACATCCTAATGTCTCAACTGTACTGTGCAATTTGGAGATGGTTCCCCTAGTGGCAACCCACATACCAGCAACTCTGTCTGCAAGATGTTACACCTGCACGTGTAAGTGTTCCCCGGGGGCAAACAGTAGTACAAGTCTGGGGCCTTCTAGACCTTGCATTGTCTTGCTACAGTATTTGAGGAGGGAACAAACTTCTTCCACACCATACGGGTTGCACTGGTTTCACATTTAACTTTATGGTATTGGATCTTTGTTAACTTTCTTACCCTGCACAACAGGTGTCACCCCTTTTGTAACAAATTTGTAGTTTTTCTGTGGCGATAAAAGAAGGCAAATGTTCTTGGTTCATATTAAGCCAGGTCTAAGCTAAACAGCCAAGCCTGTCAACAGATTTAGATCTTCAAAAATTGTTTGCAAGAAGCAGAATTACTTCCTGAGGCACTCACTCAATTTCTTTTAATTAACATAAAATTTGGGAATGAAAACAGGCCAAAAAGATTTAAATAAATTAATAATTGAAAATAAGAAGCTTGGCAGATCTTATCAGTTTAATTACCATTTTGTTGGTGGAGAGTTCTAGGGGTTTTGTTTTGATTTTGTTTTTGTTTGTAGTTTTGTTTATGCTCCAGGGAAAAATTGTTCCAAAACTCAAAGCATGGCTACTATATGGCATATTTATTCCATCATTATGTTCTGTGTTGGGAAAATAAGAATGCCAAATAAAATTTGTGATCTTGAGTTCCATATATTTACACATATAAATTGAAGGGAGAAAAATACATAAAGATACATAAAAAATCAATATTTTAAATGTAACTGTTCATGTAAAAAATCTGGTTTAAAACTTTAGAACAGTAATGCTCTGCCTGTAGCTTGTATTTGTGGCCTTCTAATGGATAATCTGAACCGTCAATTGTGCCTCTGAAAGAAATCTGTATGGCAGATATAATTTGATTCATTATGCTAAGAAGAGTATGCAAATCCACAATACTGTTTAGTTCTACAGTCATTATGAGAAATATGAATAATAAACCCATCAGATGTTCAAACTTCCCATTAAAAGACATTTCATGTCCTGTTGACAATGGAGTCTATATTTAGAAGCAATGTAAGCTTTACAGTTTGAGTAGATAGGTAGTATTTCTTGCATATTTTTCTTTTCTGAATTTTAGGTTAGCCTGAAACACAGGCTGTATAGCCTAACCTTGGACCCTATTGTCACATATATTTTAAAAAGATGTCCCCACAGAATTCTGTGGTGACTTCTGATTAAAATGGGATAATCAGGAAGATCCCTGATTCAGGGTATGATAAAATCTATGTAGCGTACCACATATTCATTGTGTCTGTCATTATCTTGTGCTGGTCCCATCATAGAGGGTATGTCTACACAGCAGAAGCTGTGCACAGACTAGCCTACTCAAGCTAGCTTGAATCCAGTTAGTGTGGGTAGCAATAGCAATAAAGACAACATGGTGCGTGCTTCAGCATGGGTAGACAAGCCTGGCAAGGACCCTGGCTAAGTACTCAGCTCACTAGCCGATGCAGCTAGCCCTCCGATTTTGCTGTGTAGACATACCCAGAATGGCTAGTGGCTGCTAAAATCCTTATTTGACTGTGCAAAAGTCAGCCTGTCAAACTGAAATAATAAAGTAATAATTAGGGGATTTGTTCTTGTTTTAATTTCACAGGTCCACCTCCTGTTTTACAAAGCACTGATGGGAACTGGGTGGCTTTGCAGAGCATTACGTTGCCTCGCCCTAGAATGCTTGCCAAACCAAAGAGCCAAGTATTCAAAGCTTTGGAGAATGAATCTAGTGTTGTGTCTGCTTATGACGAGATGGGCTCGGATAGCGAGGACGACTACGACTGGAATGTGGCCTTGAACAAGCTGCGTCGGAGGCCCAAGCAGTTGTCCGAGGATTCTTATTATACCGATTCCCAGTACAATACTGAATGGGCTTATGGCAGTGATCCGTACCAGCCAGTGACCTCACCTTCATCTGGGCTATACACCAATACAGAGACGGTGTACTCTGATTCTGAAACATCTTCAGTAAATTCCTCAAGGGAGGCTAGAGAATCTAGCAAACTTCCCTGGCTACAAAGGAGAACTCAGAGTGACAAACCCAGAGTGGAAAAAGCACATTTACATGGAGAACTGGATGTAAATTTCAATCCACAGGCTGACAGTTTAGAGTATTCAGATAGCAGTGAGACTGAGGAAGTCCATTATGATTTAGAAAAGAGGTCTAGAAGGTGGAGAAAGAGCAAAATTGTCTCAGAAGAATTAAGTGAAGGAAAAAATCACACAAAAACCCACAAGAAGAATTTGAGCACAAATCAGGTAACTACATTTGCTTATATAGGAAGGATTGAGTAAGCAAAAGTGGGCGGGGGGAGTGGCACACTTTGTCAAAAATGGCATTATCTGTTTCTGAGTCCCTCAGAAGATGGTCTTGAATGTCTTAAGAAGTAAAGCACAAAATGGGGTCTTGTATATATGTGCTACAGGCCACCAAATCACACTAGGGAGCAGGATGACCAGCTCCTTAAGTACCTATCTGTAATCTGTAGGGAAAAAATTTGTGTGGTCATGGGGGACTTCAATTTGAGGGACATATGCTGGAGGTCTCAGGCTGCCAGTACTAAAACATCCTTGGAATTTCAAAATATCATAGATGACAACTTCCTGATTCAACTTGACTCAAATGTTGCAACCATCACAGGGTAATTCTGTATTAGGACCTCATCTTGACAGATAAAGAAGAACTGATCACAGAACTAAAAATTAACAATAGTTTACGTACAAGTGATCATGACTTAATCCATTTATAATATGCAAACAGAATAAAGTCCAAACCAGCAATATCTATGCTTGGTGCTTTAAAATGGCCAATTTCACAAAGCTGAAAATATTTGAGTCAAATTAGCTGGGAGGAAGAATTTAATCAGAAAAATATGAATTATAATTGGTAATTGTTTCTAAACATTTTATTAGGTGCCCAAAAAAACACAATTGAGGGAGAACACCATATTGGTTTAAAAACTGATCTCGCTTAGAGGGGAAGCGAAGGCAGCTATAAAAAAAATAAAATACAATTTAACAAATGGAAGAAAGGGAAGTTGATAGCGATTAATATAAATAAGAAGCTAGCAATTGTAGAAAATTTATAAGAAAAGCAAAGGGACACAAGGAAATATTTATGGCCAGCAGAGATAAGGACAATACGAAGGAGTTTTTTAAGTATATTGGAACAGAGAGAATCCTGACAATAGTATTGGTTCATTACTAGATGGAAATGGTCACAGAACTAATCACAGTGATAATGCAGAAAAGGCAGAAGTGTTCAATAAATGTTTCTGTTCTGTATTTGGGGAAAAACAGATGATGCAGTCTCATCATATGACAATGATAACACTCTTTTCATTCCACTAATATCTCAGGAGGATGTTAAACAATATCTACTAAAGTTAGATGTAGTTAAATCAGTAGGTCTGGATAACTTGCATCCAATAGTTTTAAAAGAGCTGGCTGAGGAGCTCAGTGGACAGTTACTGTTGATTTTCAATAAGTCTTAGAACATCAGGGAAGTTTCAGCAGACTTGAAGAAAGCTAATGTTGTGCCAGTATTTAAAAAGGGTAAATGGGACAACCCAGGTAATTATAGGACTGTGTATCTGATATAAGTCCCGGGCAAAATAATGGAGTGGCTGATACGGGACTCAATTAATAAAGAATTAATGCCAGTCAACATTAGTTTATGGAAAATCTATCCTGTCAAACTAACTTGGTATCTTTTTATGATATTATAAGTTTGGTTGATAAAGATAATAGTGTTGATGTAATATACGTAGATTTCTGTAAAACATTTGGCTTAATGCTACAATAACTTTTCCATTAAAAATTAAAACAATATATAGTTAACATGGCAAACATTAAATAGATTAAAAGCTGGCTAACTGATAGGTCTCAAAATGTAACTGTAATGGGGAACCATCACTGAGTGGGTGTGTTTCTAGCGGGGTCCTGCAAGCAGCATGTTAAGCCGCAGCGGTGTGCGACTCCTGTCCGGGAGCATGCGAGCTGCTTGCACACGCTAGCGTGACTAGGGACAGCTGCCAGTGAGCCTGGTGTCCGCCCCAGTAGGCGGGGATGGGGGCGGCACAGCTAGGCTGGCAGGAGCTGCCAGGGCTGGGCGCTGGCTCTTGTGTGCAGTGGCCTGACATGCTGCTGCTTTCGCTGCTGCGGTTCTTGGACCTGTCGCTGGCCATGGTCCTGCTGGTCTCGCTCGTTGTTGCCCTGCAGCTCCGTGGATATCCACACTGTAGCCACGGATATCCGCATCCGGGGATATAAATTGTGTATCCATGCAGGGCTCTACAAAGAGAAGGTTAAGGGGTGACTTGATTACAGTCTATAAGTATCTATGTGGGGAACAAATATTTGCTAATGGACTCTTCAGTCTAGCAGAGAACAGTATAATATGACCCAAAGGCTGGAATTTGAAGATAGACAAATTTAGACAGGAAACGAGGCGTACATTTTTAACAGTGAGGGTAATTAACCATTGGAACAATTTACCAGGGGTCCTAGTGAATTCACCATCACTGGCAATTTTTAAATCAAGATTGGATTTTTTTTTAAATCTCTGCCCTAGGAATTATTTTGGGGAAGTTCTGCGGCCTTTGTTAGACAGGAGTCAGACTACATTATCACGATGGCCCCTTTTGGCCTTAGAATCTGTGAACACTGTATGTACTAGAAGGCACTTTAAAAAATCAGCTCAGACTTACTCACAGCAATGCACTGATCATATCCAGGAGAGAAAGCACACTCAAGTTTTTTATCCCTTATCAAAATTGAGTAGAAGGCAATGTGATGCATAAACTGTTATTGGTCATTCCTGTATATTCATCACTTTGTTCCCTATCACTTCCAGGCGATACAGTGGCATTAGTAGTACAGTACAATACAGAGGTTGCTATTAAAAAAAATAGAATTTCCCAACATTTAGCACACAGTGGTATATGGGTAGCTACATTTTTCACTCTTCTTGGAATGGGAAACAAGTGAGCTATCTCAGATAATATTGTGGGGTAACTGCTGGCAAACATCCTTTTAATGGAGAACACTGGTGAGGATTGTTATGAACAGGAATGTAAAAGCTATGGGCTGTTACTGAATTATAATCCAAGTAATGGCTGTTTTTAATTTCCCACTGTATTGTATTTAGGCATTGTGCATGTGGGTGTCTCTCTACATGCTGCTTTTATAAGGATGTTGTCATTCATAACAAAAAGAGAGAAAATTGTAAACTGTCAGAATGTAATGACTCGGGTTCAGAAATAATTAGCACATTTGCAGAGAGCAAAGTCTTTCCTCAAAGGGCAGTTTTTATAACAAGGAAGTAAAATAATGTAATCTAAGCAGAAAGTAAGCAGGAAATCACACCAGTCATGTGACTGGAGTCCTGTATGGGGCCTGATTGTCCCAAAGGCAGTCTCCCAAGTAGTCACTCTTACACCTGAGTAAGACAAGGGGCAAGCAGAGCTGGCTTCAACCCCATTATTTATTAGGGACCAGGTAGTTCCCCTGCATCCTGTCTCAGGTATTTAAGAGAAATTAAGATATAAATTCCCTGGTTAGGTCATCTTCTAAAGTAACAGGATGGTGTGACTGAATCAAGGAAGTGAACCATTTCTTCTCCCCTATCTCTCTCTCCATAAGGCGATTAGCAATCGGCTCCGCTTTTCTGACTCTCCCGACCAATCGTTCTGTTTCTGCAGGTGTTATTTGGTTGGAGTGTTTACACCTCTAGCCCTTACCTGTGATAGAAGGCCTGCTGCTCCACTAGTCACAACACTAGTGCCGATACAGTTGCACCGAGGTGAGCTGGGGCGGGGAGTTCCCCTGCGTGCCACACACACACACCCCCATTACTTGCTGCAGGCGGCCCCCTGCCCCAGCTCCCTCCGCCTAAATGCCGAAGACGACTGGGGCGGCCGAAGATCGGCCGCCGTGGTCGCCACTGAAGAAA